GTCTCTACAGTGCTGATTCGGCTTCTAGGAGTGTAATCTTAAGACAACAGATCAAGCGAAAGGTATTGAGTTGATTTTTTTCCACAATCGATGTAGGGGTTTTTTTTTTTTTTTTTCACTCGAAATCGACATTCAGTAAGGAATTAGAGAAATTTGTTGGTGGAATCGGACTAGTAGAAGGTGATAAGAGGAAGTCAAACAATTTTGTGGGTTGACAGACTATGGAAGAAATTGATTAATTTCCTTTATTCATTGAATGTTGAGAAAGTTTGATTGATGTTTTTATTGCGTTATTTTTTTCATTAAACGAAGTGATTGATTTTATTTTAGTTCTGAAATTCTTCTAAAAGATGGAATTGATGATGTAATAGATTTCAAAACATCATAATCTCTTAATTTTAAAGGATTCGATGTTTAATCACTGAATCGAATTATGAATGAATTTATTTTTTATGACATTAGTTCTAATTTGTAGAATAATCTCATAATTGAATTTTCTATATTTGCATTTTTTTTAGACGAACAGGTTTTTGTTATCTTATTGAATGCATACCTTTAACTATTTGTGAATTGAATTAATTTAATTTATTTAAAAGTTTTGGAAGCATTTAGGGCGGTAATTAGAGAATTGAGTTCAACAATTGAGACTAAACTTGGAATTTTGAACTAGATTGGAATTGCAGCTTCGAGTTTGTTTTCTTTACTTAAGTTTTACTTGTCAAACAAAATATTTGAATTCAAATTCAGCTTTAACTCATAATCAAATTTTAATATCAAGCTATAATTTTAATTAAATCTTTTAATAAGAACAAGTTAATCTCAAACATAGCTTAAACTCGAAACCAAGTTTGTTTACATAAAATGAATATGTTATAGGGCAAAATAAATAAATGAAGAATTATAAGGTGGGTATGGAAGGCTTGCTCTAAGTGGTGGGGGTCCAATATGACGTTGAACAGGGACTGTTGGAATACTTTTCAACTCCTTGGAACGAATACCAGAGGATCAGAAAGCAGAGAAGGCATGGATTGCATCTGGAAAACAGTTGTTTGGTCCATTTGGATTGCTAGAAACCAGAAAATCTTCCACAACAAAGAGGTAAATCCTGAAATACTCTTAGAACTTGTCCAAATGAGATCTTTTTGGTGGATCAAAGCAAGAAAAGATTGGGCTACTGTTAATCTTTCAGATTGGATTATTGATCCAGTAGCATGTTTTAAAACCAGTTATGGTAAGCGAAAGGGAGACTAATTAGTGGGTAATTTCTAATGGTTTTTGTTACGTATAAGTAGGATGTGTTAAATTAAATGGGTTTGAGTACCCTTGTATTCTATATTTTCAATAAAATTATTTATTGTTCAAAAAAAAAAAAAATGAAGAATTATATCAATCCTTGAGCTTAGCTTGTTTATTTTATCAAGTGGATTGCAAGTTTGATTTTTGCCAATCATGAGTGGCTCAGCTCATTTTCACCCTAGGAGCAGATATCACCACTCAAATTCCAGATGCTCTGTATGCTTTTTAAGAAGTTGATATGGACTGTTCTTTGGGTTTGGGTTTGGATTTGGGGATTTATGGGTACAAGGGCTCGAAATGATTTGGGATGAAAGGTTTTAAACAAAGGAGAGGAAGCAAGAGGGAAGGTAGTGATGAAACTCTGGGGTTGCTCCACTGTGGGGTAAATCCTCTCAATCTTAGAGAGAGAAGTTCTCCTCTGAAGGGAGGGCTTGGTTGTTGTTCGTTGTTTAATATCAACTACTGTTATGGCCAATCAACAAGTAGTCTAATAGTAATCTTCTTTTCTAAAATAAATGTTCTAAATTTGAGTCACTGGGTATGGGTGGCAATATTTGTATTATACTTTAAATATTTGTATTAAACTTTATGATGTTATTACTGTTATTTTTGCAAGGTAAAGCAACATATACACGCACAAACAACAACTTTAATGAAACTTTTAACTGTTTTGTGTTCAATTGTCTGGGCAGAGAAAGTCTGCAATGAAAAATCCGAAGGCTGGCTTCCGAAGGCTGAAAACTGAGATGCAAGAGATCAGTAAGGAACAACAAAGCATCAAGGAAGGACAAAAACAAGTGAGAGAAAAACTTGAAGACATTGAAGTTGAATGTGCACAACTCAGGAAGGATACGGATCGGACCTCATGATCAGGCAGAGTGCTGCGAACAAGCTTAATCTGTGTCTCATGTTCAAAATCCTTAAGGCCAGTGAAGAAGGCGATTTTCTTAAGGCCACCCAGCTTGCTCAATTGCTTCGGTTGGTTTAGTTCCTCAATCCTCATCTTGTTCCTTCTGCTTTTCCGTGCTAAAGTAAAATGGAAATTCTGTTTAACATGTTCTTTTTTTACTTTTATCTATTTTGCAGCACAATATTGAGCAGGCAGAATGAGCAAAGGCAGGGATCTACGTAATGGACAAATAAGGAACAAAGGCAGGGTAACTATATAATGGACAAGCAAGGAATAATTATCAGTAGGATTAAGCTAGTTGTTACTATGTTCTATCTTCCCTTTTTTTTATATTTTGGTGGAACCTCATGCTGTGTTGTTCTGGCTATTGTCAAACTCAGTGTTCTTCATTTCCAGTTTTATTGTGTTGAATTGCAGACTTAATATATATTGAACTTTATTTATGGTTGTCATGTTAGAATGATTCACTGTTTTAAGCGCCAAGGAGAGTTAATCTTTCCAGTTCAGAATGTATGATACAATTTACATATTTAAAATGTAATTTACATCTCGCTTGAATGAACTTTCTCAAGCA